GCCGACAGGGTCGGCAGAGAAGCTTACTATTTGCATATACGGCTGGAGGAGACCATGCCTAGCAGAGGTTACAGCGACCGGGAATATCATAAGATGGCGACGCTAAATGCAGATTCTGCGATCGCGCGCAAGAAACTCAAGAACATACATTGTGGACCTGTCCGCGCTGGGAGGCCGGGCGGGAGGCCCTGCTCCTTCTGCCCCAAGCCCAGGAAGCTGACCGGGAGCAGCGGCCGCCATCGACCCGACCATCGACCCGACACCGCGGACCCACGCTCATGGACCACGGGACCATCTAGCTCTACAACAACGCGGTCGCCGTGCCCGATCCCCCGCAGCAGCCCCCCGAGTTGGACGGGGACCTTGCGGAGGACCAGGTCAACGTCGTGATCGACGACGACGGCAAGCGCTGGATGGCCGTCGCGACCGACGGCGCACGCCGCTTCCCCAAGAACCCGCGGCTCGCGCGGGCGGGCTACGCCATCTACGTCGCCCCTCGGCACAGGCTCAACTTTGCGGCGAAGTTGGCTGGCCCCCGCCAGAGTCGCGCACGAGCGGAGGCGACGGCGTTGCCTCACCTTGCGCGCGCGGCGGAAGTGCCCATGTGGATCTTCTGCGACAACGAGCAGCGCGCGAAAGAGCTGCAGAATCCGCTGCGCAGAGGAGCCCCACCGCAGGGCAGCCGGCACGAAGTTCGGCAGCAAAGTTAGACCGTGCTCGAGATCAAGAACGACATGTTCCGGATCGAGCATGTCTTCTCGCATCAGGGCGAGGACGGCGTGGACCGCGGAGCCGTCTCGCCGTTTGCCGAAGAAGTGAATAAAGAAGTAGATCAGTTTGCCGCTGACGCCGCCAAGTTGCACCCTCTCCCGACCTCAGTAGTTAACAGAGCCAGGGGCCGTTTTCCTTGACCAACATCACGCACATAACCATAGTAAAGATCCTAGAGAAGCGAGCCCTCACCCGACCCCTGCCCCATCGGTCCGCGGAGTACATTGAGGCCCACCTCGCTCGCCTCGCTCCTTTGACCTCTGTCCCTCCCCTGCCCCCCCCCCAAAAAAAAAACGGGGGGGGTGGAAATGGAGGTCGAGGGCGAGCTCGATGATGATGCCGATTTTGATGTGTTTGGATGGCTGAGAGCTCGGCCAACCGTCTTTAATCAATCCCGTTGGCGACTTTCGTGGGCAGCGCCCCGCAATGCCCCGAGGCTAGGAGGCCCGCAGTCTACGTCCGGTTTACTGTGCTGCAAAGTCCGCCATCATAGTGAAACGGGGGATCGCCCCGTCTTGTGCACTTGTTGCAGATGACTGCGCAGGCCCAGCGAGCCTAGACTTACCATTCCAAAGCGCAGGGCATCAGCATCATCATCCTCGTCCTCCTCATCATCCTCCTCCGCCTCATCCTACCTCCCTCTCCTCCATCCCTCTCCCCCTTACTCCTCCTCCTCATCAGCATCGCCATCACCAGCAGCATCAGCATCAGCATCATCATCCTCCTCCCCCCTCCTCCATCCTCCTCCCCCTTATCCCTTCTCCTCCTCCTCCTCCTTCTCGTCGTCCTCTTCCTCCTCCTCCTCCTCCTCCTCCTCCTCTCCTCCTCCTCCTCCTCCTACTCCTCCTCCATCCCCTCCTCCTCCCCTCCTCCTCCTCCTCCTCCTCCTCCTCCTCCTCCTCTCCTCCTCCTCCCCTTCGAGCATTATTATCCTATCATTCGCATCACTCGGATTATTATTCTATTGCACAGGGTGTCTAGAGTTCCGACCACTATTCCGCGTCGCCACACCACCACCCCCGCGCGTCCCCAGCGCCAGAGTG